CACAAGAGTTCAAGCCCTCGCGCCCCCCCTCCCTCCCCCACCACCACCCCCCTGCGCCGACACTCGAAAACCAATGCAGGGATAGGGAGAGTGACGACGTGGGCGCGTTCTGACCATGTTGGAGCGTTCTGACCAGCGAGGCGCGCTCTGGCCAGGGTGCGTTCTGACCTGAATCGTTCTTCATGTCCCACATGGGGGGTCCTCTACATGCGTACAGCGCTCCAGGCGCGTTCTGTCCAGGGAGGCGCGGTCTGACCGTGGAGGCGCGTTCTGACCAGACCCGTTCCCCGTGAGGAGCCCTACCAGAGACATCCGGCAACTTTTGCCTTGGCCCTCCCAACGTTGGCATCAGTAGCAAGAGTGGCTCAAGCGGTTTCGGCATCTCGGTGTTTTCTTGCAGGGCCAAGCTTGCAGTTGACAGGTGGCGATGCCGCCCAAGGGGTTACCTAGCCTGGCTGATGTCATGGCCGAGAGTGACGAGCTTCGTCGCACGGTGAAGTGGCAGAGCATGGCCATCACCAAGCAGAACCAGCACATCCAGTGGGTCGGAGCCCGCGCGAAGGCGTTCCACGAGGCGAACCTCAGGAAGATGACGGCACTGACGACCTTCATAGCGGATGCGAAGGCGAAGGCTGTGATGAAGGCCAAGCCTAAGCAGCAGGGCGTGATGGCGAAGGCCGTGGTGAAGGCCATGGTGAAGGTTGCGGCTCCGCTACCACCGCCAGTGCCAATTCCGAAGCACGCCATTGTGCCAGCGGGTCCGAAGCACAGGGGTCGCCCGCCGAAGCATCAGCCGAAGGCCAAGGCCTTCAAGGCCCAGGGCCTGGGTGAGCCACCGCCGCCGAAGTTTGCGCCATACGTGCCGCCAGATCGGCGTCTGCCTGATGAGATCCCGCCGCCAGTCCATCGGTCGGCGGAGGGGCGTGTCATCCAGCCGACGGCGCCGTCCGTCATCCCGCTGTTTGATCGGTAGCCAGGTCTTCGGCACAGAACAGGGTTGAGCTCGTAGCGTGCACGCCTGGCGATGGGGACGGGGGCAAGGGAGGACTGTGCGAAGTTGGGGGGCTGAATGCTGCATGGGGTGCGGCGGCACTTTGTTGTCTCACCAACGCCGTGCATTTCAAGGCGTGCTGAGCTCGAGTTTGCGTCATCGGTAACACGCGACATGTGTGAGCACTGTCGCGGCAGGTGGATCATCATATCACTGCTTCTTTCCATTCGTTTCGGGCACGGCGGCCGATTCCACGTGCGACCCGATGGGTGCAGCCCGATCGACGCACCCATGTGTTTAGGCGCAGGTGATTTGCAATATTCTGCCTATAATTTGCCCCCCCCCCCCTCCCCCCCCGCACAGCATCAATCCGTCGTTGACCGTATCTTCGTCAGGGGAGGGCCGCAAGTCATTGACCATGTGGGGCGCGTTCTGGCCATGGAGGTGCGTTCTGACCACGATCTGGCCATACATGCGCGTTCTGACCACGGGGGGAAGCTTGTCCTGACGCAGAGGGGGGAACGTTTCGAATTCCCGCGCCAGCGCCGCCACCCCCCCCCCCATCCCGCCGCAAGTTGAATGCCCGTTTAGGGATCAGGAGAATTGTGATGCTGAGGAGGAGGAGGATGTTGAGGTGGGACCTTCGGGGGGCCTCATCAATCCACCCATCTGCTTTCTCTAACCGTTGCGGCTGCTTCCCTCGCGGCCCGCCCATCGCTCTCTTCGCGGCCCGTGCTGTACACGATCGTCGCGCAGGCGCGCCCCGCGCTTCTGCCGCAGCCCCGCGCTTCGGAGCATGCGGGGGTGGGTGGGTGCGGAGGTCGGAGGAGGGCAGGAAGCTGCGATGGTGGCAAGAGGCTGGATGGCGGATAGCGTTTTGCCGTGTCGCCAGCCATTGCTTTGCCATTCAGCTAGCCACCATCTCTTGCCCCTGCGTTTGGGTCCACGGCCACGGTCTGATTCCAGCTCTGCAGGCTGTCGCATTCGCCGCATCCCCTCTCTCATCCTCGCACTAAGTCAAGGACCTCATGGCATCCGACGCTCCCCCCATTCGCGTTTCCTAATCGCCCTTCTGGTGCTGCCAATTGCGCAATTGCCGCCGCTTGCGCGAGCTCCTGGCGTGTCAATCGGGGCAAAGCCCCATGTTGAGAGGGGGAGGTGCGGCAGTGAACCGTGCGGTCTTGGGAGGTGCTCCTATCATCATGCCCAGCCATTCCTCACGCTCCTTTCATTCGGCCACGAGCTGGTTGGTTGGTCGTTTGGCTGGACGTGCGTTGTCCCGCAATCCTACTATCTGATACGTCAGCGTTCCTTGCTGTATCTTCCCAGGGCCAGCGTTCATAGCAAGCGGGATATCAACGCGAGGAGCTTGTGGCTTAAGACTTTGCTGGGCTTCTGGAAGCCATATCGGGCCTTTCTTGGGGAGCTATGGGGCAATGCTGCGGACTCACGTTGCTTCAGAGACCGTTGGGCAACGTAAGGGCGAGAATGCGAACCGCAATAACATCATGTAGGCGTTAGGCTAGACACCTGTTGGGTTTCGAATGTTCGTTGGGCGGGTCCTCAACACCGTGGGCCCGCCTTGGAGCTGCCTTGGGGCCTACTGGAGCATGTCGGGCACACAGTTGAAAGATCTTGTTTTATCGTGAGCAATATTGGAGTCACTATGTGGCTGTTCTTGCGAACCCTCGGAACCATCTTGTGCCATATTGGACGTGCTGGCCAGTCGCGGCGGTACGTCACGACCAGGAAAGAATGGGTCGGGTGAGGGGTGTGCCAGTACCTCGTGCTGGTGTTCAGGTCTACGACCTGCACGTGGGATCGAGTCCGCCCCTGAGCACACTGCTCAGCGCGCCCGTTGAAGATCCCACCAACCCTTGAGGGCCTGATATGTTTAAAGCCCCCCCCCCACATCACCCACCCACTCCCCTTTTTCAGGCCCACCCGTTCATCCCATTCGGGGGCAGGGGGGGGGAGGCGCCGTCGTATTGGAGGCGCGGGGCGGGCCACAAGGGAAAGCGGGACTCAATCGTTGACGGGGGTGATCGGGGGTGGCGACGCGGCGTGCGCAAGGGGGTCGGTTTCGGCGGATGGCCAACGCAGGCCGCGTTGGAAGTTGCGCACCCCCTCCTCTTTGTGACCCGCCCCCTCGCACCCCGAGGTCCACGGCCGCGCCCCCGTCGCCCGAAGCACCTCGCCAATGTTCATTATGCCCCCCGCCGAAGTGCCGTTGCCGCCGCTGCGAAGGTTGCAGATGCCACCCCCCTTGCCGCGGGCTGCGGGGCTACTGCCGCGAGGCCGTTGAGGTTCGAGCAGCAGTGATTGTTGCTTGAGCCCATCCAACAGTCGGCCTCGTCCCAGCGGCTTGGCTTCGGCACCAACAGCCTCAGGGGCCATGTCAGAGCGGCAGCCACCTGAGCTGCGCGGTGGCCCGCGTGGCGGCCGCGTCCAGCCTGGCAGGAAGAGAGGCGCCTTGTCGCAGGGCCAGAAGCGCATCCTCTCGGCCCAGCGCGTCGCAGATCACGATGAGGCCAAGCGCACGCGGAAGGCCGCGTGCGATTGCTGCGGGGCTCCTGCGACGGTCACTGCCCCAGGCGAGCTGGTTGCGGTTTCGGTATCAAGCGTGAGCGGTGTCAATGCACCCGTCGATCCATTTCTGTTCGGTGTCCTTGCATCGGATCGCGGGGCCCGATCTCCGTTCCTGGCCGACTGGGGGTCTCGAGGATTCGCTCCGCACCGCCCCCTTCATAGCACTACTGATAGGGCCCGAACCTCAAGGACCAGGTCCCTACACCCTACCCAAGCAGTCCCGTAGCCTCAAAGGCCTTAAACCTAGGCCCGAAGCTTAATGCCTAAATCCCGAACCTCAAAGGCCAGAACCTCACCGACTCGCCAACTAACCTGGACTGCTTAGACTGGCCACCCTTACGCCCTAACCCTAAGATTAGCCTAAGGCCCGAACCTCAAAGGCCCGCCTTATAACCATACGCCAATATGTTGTAATACTAATGTCAGATCGCTAACGTCCCTGGCCCTCGGAGTCTTGCACGAGGACAGTCGCCCTAAAGGCCATGATGTCCCAACAGCCTTGGGCGCCCGACCTGCTGAGGCAGCCTCTACGCCCAAGGGTGGCTTGAACCAGTGCGCCAAGCACAAGGGTTACTACGACTCCTACATGAACGGTATCACATGGGAGCAGTTCTCGGCTATGTACCAGGTCGAGAAGACGGGGATCACACTCGACAAGGCCTTCGAGCAGCACTCTAACGGCAAGGGCCCGAACTTCGTACCCGAATCAGTTCAAACTGGCCAGTCTTTCAAACAGCGTATGGGGGTGAAGTACACTGCCCCAACGATGAGCGACTTGAAGTATACAGTGAAGCAGATATTCGATTGGGATATCTATCACCCGCAAGCTCCTGGCTGGCGCCCCGATGGTGACAGCCAGGGGCCCGCGCACCGACCAGCTGGAGGAGTTCTACTTGTTCCCATACGACCCCGTCAGCGACTGGCCCACCTGGGTCTGCGAGTTCGTCTTGGAGCAAGGCCAGCGCAAGCAGGCCATGTCGCCAGAGCAGCACGCATACTTGAACCAAGGCGAGGAGGTCTTCGACTGCGTGAAGAGCACCGTGGACTCCAAGTATGGCCCGACAGACAGCAAGTACAAGCTGACGGCTACCTGGGAATATTTCCAAGATCGTTTGGCCACGAAGGAAAACAAGAGGATCGCGAAACTCCAGTCAGGCAAAGCTGTCAATGACGATGATGACGATGACGACACTGGTGGCCTTGAAGTCGGCGGTGATGGCAGCGCCAAGCAGCAGGCGCGCGGGCGAAGAGTGAGTTGCGGGTCGGGTGCCAGCTCGAGGGCTCGCTCGGCGCCAGGTGCCACGGGATCCGCACAGGACATGGTTGTCGATCCCGCCCCGCCGAGTCTTGTCACAGCCCCAATGGGCAGGATTACGAAATCGTTGGAAGTGCTGTCCGATGCGGAAGGACCCCGCCGCAGCCCGCAAGCCAGCCCCCGCGGCCCGCCCTCGGCGACCAAGTCCGACTTTGCGCCTGTGATTGTTGGGGAGAAGGTTCACGCCGTGCACGAGAGCGACGACGACACCGCGAGCCAGACGAGCCTGATCACAATCGCCAAGACTGTGCGAATGCAGTTAAAGGGCGATGACGCCACCATCTGCAAGGATGACCCAGCCGACGTCATCGTCGCAGATCACAGGAAGCACTGCGACCTCTGGAAGGCAATGGAGTTGGGCAACCAGAGGAACGCTCGTCACCAAGCCACGTTGGCAGCGAGGCGCCTTCGCGAGAAGAAGCTCAACACCAAGGCCGACACGATCGATGCCTGGACTCAGAAGCATGCCAATGTGGAGGAACTCTCCCACGTGAAGATCTTCAAGGCGGACCCAGAAACCGTGAACAATGCCCTGAAGCGCGCGTTGCTGGAGTTCGATCGGCTCCCCCTCCATGTGGAAGTCGACCTGGTGACTATCAAGGCGCGGGTCGCCCGCGTGCGTTGCGACTTAAACACAACTTCGCTCACCGCCTGCTTCGACATCCTCTGGCCCATCGCTGCTGTTCACGGAGATGGTGGGGATAGGGAGCCGCAGCCAGAGTTTGATTGGTATGATCCCATGGGGTCGCTGATGAGGTGCAGCTTTAAGGACAAGGTGAAGCTATTCAGGAGCGAGTGGACGCGGGCGGTCGTGGTTGACGGCATGCACGCGCAGGACGATGGTGCCTCTGCCGATCTGGTCCAACAACATGCCGAGCACGTCCTCAACAAGCTGAAGCAGAATTGCAGCGAGTTCGGCGAATTGACCGACGACGAAGCGGACCTCATCGGGGAGACTCTGCTCATGATGAGGGTCATTTGCGGCCTCTGCGACATGAGGAACCTCGTGCACGATGAGTACTTCATGGCCGTTGACAGCTTCTCGCAGGTCAACTTAGCGGGCAAGGAGCTTTCGCCCATGCCGCACAAGTTCTACTGCGCCCTGACGGAGTCAAAGTTCTGTGGCAAGCTGTTCTTCAAGTTCTCCGATTTGCGCCCGATGCTGCTGGACTTCAGGGCCAACAGTGCCATGGTTGAGGACTTCATGGAGGGGGTGGCAGAGGACGCGGACTCCAAGGACGGCTCTCGTACGTTCGACATGGGCGACCCTGACGCGCTCACGAAGTGCTTGGCTGTCTACAACACGGCGGGTGCAGCTGGCCTCACCGAGGTCGTTCCGGGATCCGGGAATGAGGTTAGCAAGTGCGTCGTCAATTGCGGGGAGATGTTGTTGGAGGCGGTCAGTGCCGCCCCTGACGCGGGGCTGCACTGCGATATCGTTAGCGGCTTCAGCAAGGTCCTCTCGGAAGCATCTGCGACGTTCCCCCACAATGGCGACATCGCTGATCAACTTAACAAATCGGGCTGACCCTGCAGAGAGGGGCAGCAAAGACGAACACGGACAAGGTGTTCGGCTCGTTGCGCGATTGTGCCGAGGACCCCTGCGACGAGAAGCTCGACCTCGCCGTGCAGACGCTCAGTGCGAACAAACATTTGGAGATCGCCGTTGCGCAGGGCACGGATGTCAGGAATTACGTGGCCTCCCATGTGAAGAGCATGGTCGTCAACCCGAGCTTAGGCATCGCGCACAGCAAAGTGAACGACGTGCGTTGCAACTTCCTCAAGCTCGTGCCTGGCGGCGCCGACGACTTGCACGCCCTGGCAACCTCCATCGTGTCATTCGTTGCGTGCGCCAAAGGCCTGGCGGAGCCCATTGCCGCGATCGGGGAGAGGGGTGCATATTCGGAGGCTAGCGATAACATCGGTGATATCGTAGACTTGAAGCAGGCCTTGGACGTTATGGACTCCACCAAGCCTCCGCCGAAGCCGCGCGAGCTGCAGGGCGGGCACTTCAGCGACGTCATCGATTCACTGCATGACAAGGCTGGCGCCGAGAGGTCGAATGGGAAGGAGCTGCTGACGGCGTTCGCCGCGAAGGAGGTCGACCACCCCAAGAACTCGATGGCCACGCTCACGTCAATAATCAACCAGGTGGCTGGCGGCATGGAGGACAGCAAGCACTGGCTGGTTGGCTTCTTCGAGCCGCGGAAGGTGAACATCAAGACGTTCCTTGCGCACGCTGGGAAGACGATCCGCAAGTCGGAGGTGGCCGCGTCCTGGGACGCTCAGGTGGACAAGTTGCTCGAGGCCAGCTGCGTTGCCCTTGGGCGGGAGGGCGCGGCAAGAGGGGGGATGGGGAACGCCGGGGAGGGGGAGGGGGGCGACGAGGGCGAGAGAGGAGGAGGCGGAGAAGGGGGAGGAGGAGGCGGACGCGGAAGAGGAGGATGAGGATGAGGAGGAATAGGAGGAGGAGGACGAGGAGGAAGAGGAGGAGGATGAGGGAAGGGGGCTCCGCTAAGCGAAGCAGCGCTGCGAGGAGTTCGCCAGCACCCTGAAGTTCAAGATCGACACCGCCGCGATCCGCGAGGCGGAGATTGCGATGAAGGCGGCCGCGCAGACTTTCGCGGCGGGCAAGATCATCTACTATTTCGAGAACTGCAAGACGACTGCCGACAAGAGGAACAAGGTCGCAGATGCGGTGAAGCGCTACTTGGATGGTGCGACGACCGGCTGCCCCAGGGCCATCGCTGACTTTGGCAAGTCGATCTGCGAGATCATCAAGCAATCGGAAGAGTTCGCGGCCTGAGCCGATCATCTCGCTGCCGATGGATTTCACGGCCTGGCAATCGAGCTGCCCATGGAGTTCACGGCCTGAGCCGTGGTCGGGCTCGGGGGAGGCCGATTGGGCGTTCGGCGCCACTGCGTATCCTAAATGCCCGCGGCATCCCCCGCCGTCGCACCAGCCCAGCACCCTGGGCGGCGACTGCCCGATAGGGTGTGCGCGTGGCCGTCGCGAATAGCCTATCTGGGACGTCTTGGGGAGCTTCGGAGCGCCTGGGGGCACCCCTTGGGATGGCTCTGGGTGTATTTGGGCTGTTCGGCGCTTGTTGCGCCAATATCGGGCTCCCTTCTGGGTAAAGTTGGCCTCCTCCCTTGGGCGGGGGCTGTTACCCTTAAGACCTATTAACTTAGTTTTAGGAGAAACCATTGTTTTTAGAATTCGTTAATATAAAAAGATAGTTTCTTTAAAATTATCGAATATAAAATAATTTGTTTTAGTTGTTGTAAACTAATTTAAATTACTTGGCTCTAATTCTAAATGGCAAATTATATTCTAATTTCACCGACCTAGAAATTATGTTGCTGTGCTATATCGTCAAATCTGTTCAAATCTATTCAAATGTAAGCACAGTGCGCTCATATTGTGGCGCGCCAGGCATGCGAACATCATGCATGCTGCAGCACGTGCGTGATATAATTCCTTCCATCTTGCGCCGCCAGCGTGACCATGATGATGATGAAATGCGCGGCGCGCATTGCGCAACGTGCTTGCGCAGAACGCGTGCGCGCGCCCGCCCGCATCTCAATCACGCGGACGATGATGTTTTTTCTCCGAAGCAAGCCTGCGGCACAGTAAGGAAACGCTACTCTTCAGCACGAGAACGCAAGCAAATAAAGTGCAACCCGTGACGGTATTTAGCAGTCATTTTTATGGGAACCTGCGAAGCTTTATTCCCCCTCACGCATGCGCCGCCCAAGAACTTCATCTTATTCATGTACGTCTCGCCAGCGCAACACCAACCCCTGCGACAATTGACAAATTGAGATCCCAACGCCCAATGCGCGAGATGGTGCGTTTTAATAGTAATGACAAACAACAGTTGTGCATCGTGAAGGAAAAATCGCGCCGCTGCTGTCTGGCAGGCGAGGAAAACCCAAACGCACTGAGAGAACTCATCCTTCTGATCGCCAGGCAAGATGTTGGCGCAAGGGTTATCCTTTAATATCTCCTCGATGCGGCAATTCATTCGCAATGCAAGGTGAATCTGCTCATGGACTTGATCCCCCTCTTCCATCCAAAACTTGAACACATCAGTTAACGGCGCAATCAAGTTCTTGATCTCCCCTGCTTTCCCTTTCAGTTCTGGATATTTAGCACGTGGTTTTTTCGGGTCAATGAACATGCTAACTTTGAGCTTGGAAAAACAGTCAGACGAGGAAACGCCGTGATCACGCCACCATTTTTCACAACTCTCGAAAACAATTTGCAATGCTGCGTCGGGCGTGTTCGGAATGAGCATGAACACTAGCATCCACAACACCGATCCCAGGAAATATTTGTCCACGCCCAAATGCTTTGTATGCATAAAATCAAACCACACCGTCCAAATTGACACAAATGGTAAATCAAATACAGGATGGTGCGCTGGGTGCGCGGCCAGCCAGGTGTCTCTTGTCCAAATTGTATCCATCCACGCTGGGCCCACTGGCCGATTGTCAGTGAACGGTTTGTCCGTGGTGTTCGCTTGGCAACGCATGCATGGAGACAAAGATGTAGGCCACGGCAATCGGAACTCCTGGGAGCGATGTTTTCAAATTGACGTTTACAAAAGGATTGGGGCGAGACGGGAATGGATATTTGAACGCTCCATGCATGCGCGCATTCATGACACGCAACATAAATTGTGTTAGCGGCGCGTCCTTGCTCAGGTACTCTAGGTCGCCCGTTATGCAGAACAAGAAGCCCCTGAACCCGCCTGCCAGAAACGTGCCCGCCCTCGAATTATCGATCCGCTCGTTGTTCCAATCTCTCGTTGGTCATACCCCATCGAACATGGCTTGAAGTGACCAACACATAATCTTCCAAAATGCCGACATTGTCCTGCACGCGAAAACATCTGCAACCGAATGATTAAAAATCGCATGTATGAAAAAAATGTATTCCAATGTTCCACCGCGCCCTGCAACCATAGAGCACCAAGAATATATGTTCATGGATTCACTCCAGGATTTACCAACGCCCTTGATAGGCACGCCGTCCCCATGGATACTGATAGGAATCGTGCATTGCTCCCAATGTGGCGCGTTCTTCACGGGGTTTCGCTACAATGCTGGATGGCTACCCGCGTCTGTCCAAAATTTTACGAGGTCGTTCCTTGAGCTGCACACGTGTTCTTTCCAATGTGCTGGGTAGGAATGATATAGCGCCGCAAACAGTTCATGGGGAAGTATCATTTCCATTGGCCTGTCAACGAAGATGCCAACGCGAGGGGATTTGCACGCTGCTATGAATTTGAGTGTGCTGGGGACATTATTTGCTGATAAACGCCTCATCAAATCACCGTGGCAATGGTTCGGGCACGCGCCCCGCGACCCCAAACTCGCCAAATTCTCGGGCTCGTCTGGCACAGCTGTGCTCCCAGAGGACAACCAATCATTAAAATCCAGCCTCGCTTTGTCGGAAATTGCTTGCACCATTTGCGGCGACAGATGGCCCCATGCCCATAATTCCAACAAGAAGGTGGCCAACTGGCTGGATTGCTCCCTGAGGGGTGTGGCTTTGCCCTTGCCACGGCCGCGCGCAAGGTTCGGTTGTCGTTGTCCTTTGGGTTTCCCCTTGCCCCTGCCCATTAGAAGCAGCTAAGATGGGGCAGGGAAGCGCGCCCGACGAAAATCAACGAGAATACCTCACAACGCAAAACGGCTTCAGAGGAAACGACATTGTGCACATGCAAGCAACACGCGAAATCAGACGCAAAATATGGCGTAGCAAACACCTCTCCGCGTCGCATGGCCAAGACATCGGATCGCGCGGTCGCGCTTCGTCGTCGCAACCTTCGTCGTTTATCGATGACTGCTCATTCGTAACTGAATGCGCGCCTGCCCCCGTCCTCGCGTCGTGCACACACTCACGCGCATGCCATCGTGTCAACTGCACCGTGACGAAATTGCAGCACAAACCAACTTCAAGCAACATAAAAACATCAACTTCGATGACACTACGCGTGCTTGAAAGATGAATCGCAAATTGATGACATCAACTCAATGCCAATCGTCCATAGCACAGCGATGCTCTTTGCAATCATAGCAGTAACGAATGACACTCCCCGTCCCCAATCACACCCACTCGAAAGCGTCACCACAAACACCGCAATTGCACCAAGGAAGAATCATATAAACACATCGCTCGGTTTTTTTTTTAACACGCAAACGCGGGCGCTCTCTCGTAGGGAACAGGGTTGCGTCGCCGCGCCGCGTTGCAATCATGCCATCTCTCATGATTCAGTGCATCAGTTCGCCCCTCATCCTTCCCATCATGTCACAAACCCATTTCATTCTCCATCATTCCGAAGCTGCCTCAGATGCTATATGGCAACGCAACGCCATACAATCGAGAAGCACGAGCGCATACATATGCTTTACAAAACGCATGCGAAAGCAAAGCAACATCTCATGGCGACAAGATGCCCGTGTACGTGGCCGCTCAGCTCTGGATGTCCTTCAGGAACGCAGAAGCCAACGTCTTCTCCTTCAGGCGAGCGGCACCAAAGAACCAGAAGGGCCGCGCGAACCCCTGCCATTGCAAGCTGCAAGAGAAAATAAACAAACGCATGACAAATTTGAAATATAAATGTCTCAGACAAAATCATCATGGATGCTCTTCTGGAGATCGACAGCAACATTGGTGAGGAACGTCTTGCAGTACTCCGTCGTCAGCGGTTCGTTGTCCTTGGTAACCTTGTGGGTCTGCATCTTTCCGAGAACGTGTTCTGCATCCTGGCGCGAAACAAAAATTCAATAAACAAAATGCACGTTTCCGAAAACGCGTTCTGCATATTTCCGAGAGCGCGCTTTGCATCAGGCATGAATACATAAAGTTTCACTAACATATGCGTACACTATGGCGCGGCGCACGCGCACGGCATAAGAAAAATCAGCATTTCGTCGGCGAGGGTCCTTGATTTTGGGTTCTAGCTCGGCAAGCTTCTTCAAGTGGAAGTTGGCGACGTCGCCGCCGCAAGCTCTGAGCATGTTCTTCAATTTCGAAGACTCTTTAAAGTCTTCACACACGCCTGCCGCGCCTCCTCGACGTGCTGCTTGAATGGCTGAGGGGTGTCTTCGCCGAGCATCGTCTTATCCATCTCCTTGCGCTCAGGATGCAACAACTGACGGCATGCGCTACGCGCGCGCGGCATACGCATCCATCGGACATTAGTGAAAATGCGTTCAACCACTCGAGACATGATGTAGTGATGAGCATTATGCTGCGCATTCTGTCATCGAAACAAACCGATTCCGAAAATTCA